CCCCTTATCACAGCCGCTTTACGACCCCCCCCCCATTTCACCTTTTTCCAAAGTGGGGCCGGGGCCAAGCCCCCGCTGGAAACAGGCTGAGCGAGGGCGGGGTCGCCAGGGTCCGGGGCCCCACAGTCCGGTCTTTGTGGCTTCGGTCAGGCAGAAACCCCCGAAAACAGCGGCCAGTGAAATGTCCAGAAAGCCACTTGGGATGTTCTCGCCCTGCCCTGTCTGCAGGGGACGGGGAGTGCGAGATTTAAAGGTGCCCTGATTATTATGGGGGTGGGGGGCCCTTTTTTGCTCAACATTCGGACATCCCTCCCCTTTTTATTAATGCAGAATGTTGTTTAAAAATGAATTACAATATCATTAGAATAAAAATGATCCAACTAAATTAAGTTTCTATCAAATTTACCCGATTCACATTTAATATGAAAATAGCCTTCCATTTGTGCATTTGACGCCTTTTTTCTATTTTTTTCTCCAAAGGGGGGGCCTGGAGAAATTGTGCTGCTCTGGGCCCCGCAAAACTCTCATCCACCCCTGCCTGCTGGGACTCTGTCGCCTCTTCTCCCCGCTCCTCCCACCTGGATCCCCATGTCTGGCTCTCTAAACAGTCCCTCCTCCCCCTATTCTCTGGGCCCTGTAACCTCCCCCCCAACACACACACACGCCTGCCCAGGAGCCCAGCCCTCTTGTGCTGTGTCCTGACAACCTCACCCCTGCCTGGGACCCAGGTGATTCTCCCTCCCCCTTTGTCCGAGGAAGGGGAACTCTGGTCTTTGCAGTGCCGGTGTCCCCAAGTCCCTCCCTGGACAAAAAAAGGAGGGGGGCATGTTCGCGGTCCCACAGCAGGCCCTGTCCTTGGTGAGGATCAGTTATGGCCCATGCAAGAACCAGTCTTATTTCAAAACGAGCTCCAATGTGATGCTCAGTGCCTACCAGGAGACGGATTCATAGCCAACTCCACCACAGGAAACGGGGCAAGCACAGTGGTTTGACTGGCCCTGAAGCACTCAAAACTGTGTGTAATTTCTCAGCTTTCCTTGAGGATCTCCCTTTGATGTGGAGGTCCCTATTCATTGCAAACCAAATCTGGCTGCACACACCACTCTTTTAGCTGATGTAATTGTATTTCCTCAATCTTCCCACTCTGTCCTCAAACTCCTGCCGTGATTGTGACCTTGATAACCTCCCAGCGTAGCCCTGGAGAAGCACGCGGTATAATGTTTGTGTGTCACTGTGAGATAGGGACTGGGTAGATGAACCTTGCAAGGGAAGAAAAGAGGGTGGTTAACAAGGTAACTCACAATTCTACACTCCTTGCACAGAGGTGCCACCCTGAGAGAGATTCGCATAGACTCGGGGCCCCCACAGCACAGCAGTAAAAGAGCCCGTTGAAATCAACAGGTTGTGTGTGAACAGACTGTCAGGGCCTTCTTTCCCATCCCACAAATGGACAGGAAGCTTGCATCCCAGGTAGTGTCCTCTTTAACCTCCATCCCTGTGCCGATGCTTTCTATTCATGTGCAGAATAAATTTTTACATGCACAAACGCATGTGGGATGTGCACCACCACAAGAAACACACGCCTTGCTGTGAGCGCTGTGCTAATCAGCTGGGGGAGCCTTTCAGTCTCTTCCAAACAGCTGCACAAGCGCTCAGCACACAGGGAACACTGGTCCCAGCCTCGCCCCCCAGCTAAAAAAATTAGCAGAACAATTGAAAAGACTTTGGGCTACTAGAATGTCATAAGACTGAGCCGTGACTTCTGGTAAGCTTGTAGAATTCACGCCGGGACTTTTATTGTTATGCTTTGAACAATGTCCGGAAAGATCTAGCCGTAGTGAATACAAGGGAAGATTGAACCCCCTTTTTGGGTTAGTTTATACAAAGAAGGGAATGGCAGAACTAGTATCTCCCTTATGATGTATAGAATCCTGCCAGGCCTGATTGTCTTCACACTCAGAAGTGTGGGAAGGAAGGAATGCACAGGTATGAGGGCCCTGCACGGGGCTGCTCTCATGACAATAAGTAATTTCCCCTCCAGATACGTTCACCTCCTCATCACTATTGGAGTGAGCCACGTCCACCCTGATCTCATTAGCACTGATGGTTCGCTCCCATCTCTGCACCCCGTTTCCTGGCCTTGTGTTTCCTTCAGGCATCTGAGGAAGTGAGTTGTAGCTCACGAAAGCTTATGCCCTAATACATCTGGCATTACATTTAAGATACCCCCAGACTCCTTGTTATTTTTGCCGAAATAGACTATTTTTGCTGTAATCTCTACCTGTTGCCAAGGGACTGGAGCAATACCTCGCGTTGGGCACGTCTACGCTACACTGGAGATCGACGCTGGCGCAGTCGATCTTTCAGAGTTCCATTTAGCGGGTGCAGCATAGACCCGTTGGATCAAACTCAAAGGGTGCCCCCTCCCCCCCGTTAGTGCCAGTACTCCTGCTCCTCGCGAGGGGTAAGGGAAGTGGACAGAAGTGTCTGCTCCCATCGAGTTTCCGCTGTGTGGACGGGAATTTAAGTTATGTCAACACCAACTACGTAATTTACATAGCTGGAGTTGTGTCTCTTACTTCAAGCTTCCCATATGGTGCAGACCAAGCCTGAGGATTTACTGACTCTAGCCAGCCCTAATGGCTTTGCACTACAGGGCTGGAATGAGACTTAAGGAAGAAATTGGCCTGCACAAGAGTGAATTGTTCCCCATGCTCCTGGACTCACAGGGGTATTTAGTAATTTCATTCCCGTCGATTTCATTAGGAACCAGGCACCTAAGAAGCTCTGGGAATCGGAGCACGGAGGCTGGCAAGTCAGGAATGGAGCAGGAAGGAAACCCACACAGCTGATATTGCAATGCAGAGTCAGTTTAATGCGAATGAGAAGAGGAGCAAAAGGAAACAGAGAGAATGCAAATGAAAAGAATCTATTTCCGGCGCTTCAAGTTGGTTGGCAACATATCACCCCTTCCAAGGCAAGGCATTTCACACCAGCTCTCCCTCTTTCTTCCAGGCAGTTGTCACGCTTGACAGTCAGGTCCCACTGGTAACCCCGGCCAGAGTTTCATCCCCGTCAGAGTTAACTGCGCCAAAGCACAGGAGGAGCAGGGCACTACGCCACTTCAAGATACATTTTCTGTAGCCAAATGAAAGCTGGAAACAAACACGACAGAAAGGGGTAGAAAAGCGAGGGCCTAATTCTCCTTGGCACCACGTCCCTCGTGCGCTGCTCCGTAAGAAACATGCTGGGGAGGGGGGGGGGTAAACGTTCTAGCGTAAGGCCCTTGCTTCGTTTACACTGCCAGAGTGGCATAAAGGAGTCGGCGTGAAATTCGGATTCAGGCCCCCTGGAGAGTTAGAGGCAGACAGCCCTGAAGGCCACATGGGAAATACAGATCTGGGGTATTTTAGAGAGGTTCTGGGCGCTCGCAGCCCCCATTGGAGTCACAGGTGCCCAGTGTTTCCGAAAGCCATTCTACCAAAGCTCAGCCGGGAATCCACATCCTGCTGCTCGTGTCCCTTGTTTCTGGGCCGTTCCTGCTGGGTTTAACAGGGCCAATGCTTTCCACAGGGGTACCAGTGGCCCCATTGGGAAGAGCAAGGTCTGGAGCAATCATACACATGATTCCATCCACCCCTGGAGGCCCCCCAATTGCCACATGGCCTCGTGTAGCTAAAATGGCTCCGGGAGCCATGCCAGCACCCATGACTCCAGGGGTTGTAACACAACTCAATAATGCTTCCGTCGAAAGTCATCTTTCTGCGCTGGAGGTTGACCTGAAACACACAGCAGGGAAAAGAGTCAACACAATGCACGCGAGTCAAAATGGGGTTACTCTCCTATCGCTGGCCATGGAGCTAGAGACGGGGCTGGAGCAAGGAAGTGATGACTTAGGACCAGTTCCTGGCTATATGTTCCATCCTCCTATTTATCCTCTTTGGGTATGTCTACACTGCACAGCTATTTCGGGATACCGGAGGTATCCCGAAATAGCTACTCCACATCTACACAAGCTGCCCATTATTTTGAATTTTTTCACCATCCTGGTAAACCTCATTGCATGAGGGATTAGGGATGGCTTGAAATCACGTTATTTTGAAATTTGGCACTGTGCAGACACGAGTTATTTTGAAATTTGGCGCTGTGCAGACACGGCAAATTTCAAAATAAGCTGTTTCGAAATAGTTGCATAGTTCAAATTGCATATCTTATTTTGAGTTTCAGGTGCTGTGTAGATGCAGCCTTTCACTCATTCATAGCCTTCTTCTTAACCAACCCCTTTTATTCCATCTCCTTCCCCTTCTCTGAAAATACCGGTAGCAAGGTAACTATCTTCTAGGGACTATTTTCATCTCTCTTCATTCGGACATAGGAAATCGTGTTGGAGTCTTTGTGAGGGTTTCCTCTCAGTATGGAGACAAGTTCTCTCTAGAACCAGAATGTGATGCTTTGGCTTCGAAGCCACGCAAGTCAGAGATGGAAACTAGTCACTTCCCAAGGAACTACATGAAGGAACAGATGGATTACGTCAGTTCAGGCTGGTGTAAGTTAGCAAATCTCCACTGAAGTAAGTATAGCTAAGATGTGCCACTCAGATCCTTAACTGCAGACACGAATCTAACAATTGTCACGTTCTGTCAGACCGGCAGGTCATTTAATCCATTACACTGTTGAGTACCAACTGCTTCCCAATGAGGAGCAGTGAGCTCTTTTGTGGAAGGAAATAGAAACGTTTTTTCCTCAAACCTTTTAGGAGGGAGGAGATTATTCAAAGATGCCAAAGAATTCCAGTTCCCTGTTTCCTCTTGAGAGTCTTAGGAACCGGGTGTCAAAGACACGGGTGTTGCTCTGCAAAGCCTACCAGTAACTTCTAAAGCATGAATCCTCCCACAGTCTGAAGAACTATGAAAAAATATGGAATAACTAAAACCACAGCGCCCCTTTGGAAAACCCAGTCCTGAATGAAAACAGTCACTAACATGCCACCCAAAAATTGACTCGAGTCAGACTTACCCTGTTCACTGAGGACACAACGTCAAGAGAAGCGGTGGGAAGAGCTGAAAGTACAAGAGCTTTTATACTGTCTGACTGGCAGGAGGATTGAGACATCCTTGCGCATCAGGTCTTTATGAGCGATACAATGAATTGTGTAGCACGTCACTCTTTTAATGACTATAATTGTTTTCCTGAGTGCTTGTGGTTATTAGTCTCTTCCTAAATGCACACGGAACAATAGGCACATTGCATCCTGTGGGAGTCAACCGTACTAAAAGTGTTAGGGATGAATTGTATTCCTGCTCTCATTCTCCTGACTTCACTGATATTACACGGAGAATGAATCCGTATCAAACTCAGAGCTGGCTCTGTGCATCAGGCTCCTGTACAGGAATCCAGCCTGGTCCTTTAAATCCATGATGGTGTTGGAAAAACTGAAAAAACAACAAATAGTCTTGCAGCACCTCTACAAAACATGTAGATAGGATCATGAGCTTTCGTGGGCACAACCCACTTCTTCAGATGAATGCCGTTATTAAAGGTCCAGTTTCGAAATAAATAAATAAGGGATGGGAGGAAGGAAAAAAAGAAGAAGGGGGGAAGAAATAATCAATTAGGATGCATCTACATAACACCCTAAACTCAAAATAAGATACTCAATTTGCGCTATGCAAATTACATATCATATTTCGAATCTATTTCGAAATAGCTTATTTTGAAATTTGGTGTGTCTACACAGCACCAAATTTTGAAATAATGCACTATTTTGAGACATCCTTTAACCCTCGTGCAACAAGGTTTACTGGGATGGCAAAATAGCGCGCCCATTATTTTGAAAAATATTTTGAAATAACAGACGGCTTGTGTAGACGCGAGGTAGCTATTTCGGAATACCTCTGATAACCTGAATTTGCCGTGCAGTGTGTAGACATACCCTTAGAATGTCGATGCTACATGAAGTTGATAGAAACAGTGCTAATTGTTCTTAAGTACCCTTTGTTTAGTTATTTTATGTACTTAGGATGTGGAATGTTGGTGTTGGTTAAGAATGTTTTGGCAATGTCGTTTTTTAGGATCAACTACAGGTTGAACCTCTCTAATCCGTCACTCTCTGGTCTGGCAACATCCATGGTCAGGCACAATTTCATTTAGTCAGATGTCCACTTATCATGGATGTGGCCAAGTTTCCCACAGTCTCATAAAGTTTGTTTCCAGCCACTTGTCCTGGCTCTCAATGTTCTGTGCTGTTCTTTAGCTCTAATTTACCCCTCAATGTCCTCTACCATCCCAACAAGCAACAGCAGTGTTGGCGATGCTACTAGACAATATGCAACTCCCGTAGTCTGGCCAGACTAGAGATGTTCAACTGGTAGCCTTAATTCTGCATGTTCCGCACATCCACCTATAATGCAGCTGAACCAAAGCACATGGAAATGAACAGTAGTTAATTAACTGACTTCAGTGGGCTCTTCATGAAGCCATATAACTTGAAATTAGCTATGGCAGAGGAGGAGTACAAGAGCTATGAACCAAATCGGTCCCACCTACACATTCAAATATAGTTCTTCTTTGACGCCTAAGTGCTCATTCTGCAGTATTGACTGACTGTCCTGTGAGGCTCCTCCCTTTCCATTTTATGACAAACAATCCAATTCCAGGCACATCCCATTGTCCTGGCACAACCGAACCCCGGCCTTGCCATTCAAGAGGAGTTCTTAAACAAACAGACTTACAGATGGACAAACAGATAGACAGAGTTGTGCACATTTCTAAAATATATAGTAAGATAATTGAATTGACTCTTATTTCTTTCTGACCACTTGTTCAGTGTGTTCAGCTCCTTTTGAATTTTAATCCTGTCCTCCAAAGCACTTACAGCCTCTCCCAGTGAAGTGTCATATGCAACTTATACTCAGTATGCCATTATCTAAGCCATCGATAACCATTGATTAAGATCATCAATGGAACTGGACCCAGAACTGATCCCTGATGGATTGCAGTCATAATTATCAGAATCAGGATTGGTATCATAATCTTCGGTTTATGTCCTGAATATTGTATCAAGACACTTATTCCTGGGCAAAATCCCATTCCTCACTCCTCTCCATATAACTGTGAATATGGCTGCCTTTACATACATCTGGAAAGAGCAGAATGGAGATAGATGCACCAGCAGTCCATTTAACAAGTCTAGCGAAGACCCACCAAAATAACCACAAATCTCTCTCCATTCGATTCTGGTATTCTACACTACATAAGAAAACTAAAATAAGTCATTGGGAGAGTGTCTCTTAGGGTATCGCTACACTACCCCCTAGTTCGAACTAGGGTGGTTAATGTAGTCATACGGAGTTGCAAATGAAGCCCGGGATTTGAATTTCCCAGGTTTCATTTGCATAAAGCCGGGCAGCACCATTTTTAAATGTCCGCTAGTGCGGACTCCGTGCCACGTGCCTACACGCGGCACAGACCAGGTAGTTCGGACTAGGCTTCCTAGTCCAAACTACTGTTACTCCATTTCTCTTCCGTTTCTACTCCGTTTCACGAGGAGTAATAGTAGTTCGGACTAGGAAGAGTAGTCCGAACTACCTGGTCTGTGCCGCGTGTAGCCGCGCGGCACGGAGTCCGCATTAGCGGACATTTAAAAATGGCACCGCCCGGCTTTATGCAAATGAAGCCTGGGAAATTCAAATCCCGGGCTTCATTTGCAACTCCGTATGACTACATTAACCACCCTAGTTCGAAATAGGGTGGTAGTGTAGACATACCCTAAGTGACACTGTAGGCAGTTGACTTATTGCAGGTCGACTCTAGCTATGTTATTCTTGAAGGTGCTACTAGACTCTTCCTTGTTTTTTAAGTTTTTCCAGTTACAGACTAACTCGGCTACCCCTCTGAAGCTCATGTTATTCATGTGCACCAGTTGCCTAACTTAGGGCAACTCGCTGAAATAGTGTAGATGCAGCCTATAAAACAGAATCTTAACTCCAACCTAATATTTTCCTCAAAAAAAAAAGCAATCTTCTCCAGCAAATGGACTCTAGATCTGTTCCACCTACATTGGCTGAGGTTGCAGTGCAGATTGTAAGTAGTTTGCAATGTTGTGGTAGTTTTGTTAGTCCCTGGATATTGGAAAGACGGGGTGGAAGAGCTAATGACTTTTGTAAGCGAAAGACACCAGCCTTCGCAGAGCTCTTCTTCTGCATGAGTTTGAAAACAGAAGTTGGTCCAATCAAAGATATCACCTTACCCGGTTTTTCTTTGGTTAGTTAAATATTTGGAAACCAAGAAAGTGATGGGTCTAGGAAATTCAGCATCAATGAGAAGTAGGTAACAAATACTGTCTAGAGCAGTGGTGCCCGTGGGTGCCATGGCGCCCGCCGGGGCATTTATGTGCGCCCACCTAGTGACCAGGGCCAGCCTGAGCCATTCTTGCGCCCCGGGCCTTGGTGCCCAGTGCATGCACGGCCCCTGCCCCGAGTGCGTGGCGCATGTGCAGTGCCACCCCCAGGCGCACCCTGGGCGTGCGGAGCATGCGTGGTGCCACCCTGGGCGTGCAGAGCATGCGTGGTGCCACCCTGGGCGTGCGGAGCATGCGTGGTGCCACCCTGGGCGTGCAGAGCATGCGTGGTGCCACCCTGGGCGTGCGGAGCATGCGTGGCTCCATCCCTGGGTGCCCAGCAGCCCCAAAACGTTGGGCACCACTGGTCTAGAGCACTGTGTGTTACTTGTGAAATGCCATTTTCTCTGTGACCTTCACCCCCACTGTTTCTTTCTTTATTTGCATATAAACCAGGAAGGAAAACAATCTCATGAATGTTCCATTATTTCAGATACCAAAGTACTTCACAAACATTCATTAAGGGTTTTGATGTCCAACATGTTGGATTATTATCATGCTAATAGTGTCTTCCCGGAAGACACCTTAATCATGAGTAATAGAGTCATTTTTAAAAATGCATGTCAAGGTGACTTGTGTCGTCCTCCTAATGAGGTCATTCAGAATTTCCAACGATTGGATTTCCATTCAAAGATTGTATTTCCTTTTCAGAGACACCTCCCTTTCACAGTTTCAGAGCAGGAAATCAGCTAGCCAGAGTAAGCATAGCTCCATAGAAAACATGAGCTATGAGGGAAGGCTGAAAGAACAGGATGGCTGCGTCTAGACTGGCAAGTTTTTCTGAAAAAGCGCCTGCTTTTGTGCAAAAACTTGCCAGCTGTCTACACTGGCCACTTGTTTTTGCGCAAAAGCACGGACGTTCTACTGTCCGAAATCAGTGCTTCTTGCGCAAATGCTTTGACATTACCGTTCGGGCAAAAGCTCTTTTGCTTAAAAACATTTCCGGAAGAGGGCCAGTGTAGACAGCTAAAAACTGTTTTGCGCAAAAAAGCCCCGAAGGCGAAAATGGCGATCAGGGCTTTCTTGCGCAAAACCGTGTCTACATTGGCACGGACGCTTTTCCACAAAAAGTGCTTTTGCGGAAAAGCATCCGTGCCAATCTAGATGCTCTTTTCCGCAAATGCTTTTAACGGAAAAACTTTTCTGTTAAAAGCATTTGCAGGAAAATCATGCCAGTCTAGAAGTAGCTGATTTGTTTAGTTTGGAAAGGAGAAGACTGATGGGGACATGATAGCAGGTTTCAAGTCTCTACAAGGGTATTACAAGGAGGAGGGAGAAAATTTGTTCTCCTTGGCCTCTGAGGACAGGACAAGAAGCAATGGGCTTAAATTGCAGCAAGGGAGGTTTCAGTTGGACATTAGGAAAAACTTCCTACCTGTCAGGGTGGTGAAACACTGGAATAAGTTGCCTAGGGGGGTTGTGGAATCTCCAACCCTGGAGATATTTAAGAGCAGGTTGAGTTGATACCTGTCAGGGATGGTCTAGACAGTGCTTGGTCCTGCCGGGAGGGCAGGGGACTGGACTTGATCTCTTGAGGTCCCTTCCAGTTCTAGTGTTCTATGCTAGAATTCAAAGATGCTCATGGTATTTCAGTCAGCATAAGGCTCTTCAACCTTGCAAGGTTAAAGGAAACGGCCCTTTGGGAGAGAGGTTGTTACCCTTTAATTCAGTGTCTGACCAATCCTGGGGCA